TTTTTCTGGGGGGGTTTTTTTTTTTTTTTTTTTTTTTCAGAATCTTCGGTCTTCGATTTTCTTTAGTTGGGTCCTCGATTGTCTTCGGGGTTTGGTTTTTGTCGGGTAATTTTCTGGACACGTGTTGTCTTTAGCTTTTGGTATTTTTTTAGATCGGTCTTCATCGGTTGTTTTAGATCCCTACTGCGATCTCTGTTTGGATTTTGTTAACTTTTCTCATGACTTGTCTGAAATCTCGCTTGATTTTGCTTCTTTCCTGTTTATGAGGTTTGTATTTTGCTTACTGTGGCTTAATCTGAGCTGAATTGTTTTGTTGAGTTTTCTATCTTCATCTGAATCTGTTTTCTTTGTGTAACTCTCTATTCCCCTTTATCATCAACATGCCTGGATCCGGTGGAAGTCGCTGAATTGGCTTTCTCTGAATTAAGAGGCTTAAGCATGTGGTTGGGGAAATTTTTTATCTTTGAAAGGTTGCTTTGCAAGTAATGTTGCTTAGCCGAATCTGGTTCTTTGCTATTGCAAAAATGCAATTTTTATTTTATTTTATTTATATAAAATATTGATATCTTTCTTACGTTGATAGAATGCTTGAAACCTTACGGATGGAAACGTTCACTTCTTCTAATGACTATACTACGGTCTTTTAAGCTCTTTGTTTTTGTTTTTGTTTTTTTTAGAAAAAAAAAAAAAACTTATTTTGAGTTGCCTCACAAGTATACCGGATTGCGATCCCATGTTCAAAACTGCAGGGTGTGCAGTTCACGATACCACCATTAAAATTTATTAAATCTTATTATATAAGATGAATTTATCTTTTAATGAAATGAATCGAAGGTCCAAATTGATACAGTTATCTTCAAAACTGTAGAGAATCTCAATCCCCAGATACCATCACTCCCAAGCATTGCTGTAAGGAAATAGTGGAACCGTGGACTCTTAGATATTATATGTCATTGTAAACGAAATTCATAATGTAAAACATTGTAAAGCACTTGATATTTATTTCTACTTGTACAGTGTAATGCATCTAAGTTTTTACTTATGGTTGTTTACAGTCAGGCTTTCAAATTCTGGTGAAGTCAAGCAACACGTAGAGTGCTCATTTATCTGATAATGGATCTTGGATTGCTGGTTTTTTCTGTTTGATCCATCTATTTTGGCATGGTTTCTGAGATATGGTCTTGCAGAAGAGGTTAGAGTACGGGTTTAATGGCTATCAGGCTCCGGCCATGCCCCGAGCTTCCCGATCAACTAGGGTAAATATATTGTACTTATCACGTGGGGCTGGTTATAACTATCTATTTAATTAGAGATTTCATGAAAACAATCTGTATAATTATTTTGTTAAAATGTTTCCTAGAGGAGGGCTAAATTTCAAAGAGCTGAAGACAATCAAAAGTGTGCATTTGACTTATTGGCCACCGTAGCTGGTAAACTATTGCAAGAGAGAGAGGATCCAACCATGTCTAGTAATGCTTCCTCAGAAAAGGATCGTTGTGGATTTGTCAAAGATTGCCAAGATGCAAATAAACCAACCAAATCTGAGCTTTCTGATGAAGGAAGTTGTCATGAAAAGAGTTTCTCCTGTCCTTCACAAACAAATGATAAAAATTGCTGTTTGAAAGAATTCCCAATTCTTGCAATTGATGGTCATGCAGGGATTGCTTCTATAGTAACAAGTTCTAGTTCCGTAGAGAGGTTCATTGCAGAGAAATTAGTGGATGGCAATAGGCATTTCAAAATGGAAAATGTTACTGGCGAAGTTAAATTAGATTCTCCTGATTGCTCAAAGGATAGTCATTTCCAGTTAGATGTTGATACTAGTAAAGGAAAGGATGAGTTGCATAAGTTTGAGAATGTGCCAAATGGCAGTGGGATTGACATGTGCAGTTTTGAGAAACCGTTGGATGAAAATCCTCCTGCATTGATCAGTATAGGTGGCAATGCCAAATTGTCTGGCTATAATGATAGGACTCCCCTGTCCAAAGGTTGTGACGATGTACCTGTAGTTAGTAGAGATGATGACGAAAACTCTTCTGGGTGTATTCACCCTATTAATACTAAACCTAAGTCCTTTAGGCCAAAGAATTGTATAGGTGATAATAGAATAAGTAAGAGACTGGCTTCTAACTTTCGGAAAGTTGCTGAAAAACCAAAGGATGGCACACGTTTTAACAGTGGTGAGTCCATTCTTATGGTATGAGATTACTGGCTATCTCATAGTCATAAATCTTTAACCCTCATGCTTCTTTGCATGTTCACTGATTTTTCTTTAATTGGAAACATGCTAATTTTAGATGGAGATTGGAAGCGAACTTACTACAGTAAGAGGAACTGCAATAAACGCCAAAGTTCTCAGATGAATATTCCTTTCAAAAAGAGGAAGCTTTATTATAGCTCTGTTTCAAATACTAATGCATTTATCAGGAGTGGTGGCATTTATTATTCACCTGAGAATTGTATGAATAAGGATGCTTGTGATTCACCTCCTGGGATGCACAAAGGTTTTACACCTCCTGGACTTCCTTCTTTTCAGTTTCATTTTTGTTTCACCTCTGTATTTAATGCTCTCTGGAATCTTTTTGTTAAAAAATTCCAACTCATTGATGCAGACCCTGGAAAATCATCCTTGAAATCTTTATGTATTCTTTGACTTGATCGATTTCTTCAAAGGGGTTCTTACATGTAAATGTCTTTCTTTTAACCAGTGAAGCTTAGGATCAAGTCATTTAGAGTGCCAGAGCTTTTTATAGAGGTTCCGGAAACAGCAACAATTGGGTCCTTAAAGGTGTAATAATCTTATATTTTGCCATTTACATATCATCCTCCCTTTGTTTTAAATGTTAATTAGGAATGACATCCGTGTAATTTATGATTAAGTTGCATTTACATTTAACTAATCCATTGCATTTGCATGTTTCTTCCTTCACAAGTTAAGTTGGGCTTTATTTTATATATTTTGGTCTTCAGAGGACGGTGATGGATGCTGTGACTGCTGTACTTGGAGGTGAATTGCACGTTGGTGTTTTTCTCCAGGGAAAGAAAGTTAGGGATGACAGTAAAACTCTGCTTCAAACCGGAATTTCTCACGATAACCAGATGGATGCTTTGGGTTTCACTCTAGAGTCTAATTCTTCACATAGCCTACCGATTGTATGTGCTGCACATTCTCCCCGTCCTAGTGCTGACATAACTCAGCCTGTAATAAGGTAATGCATAACCTCCAAATAAAGCGCTATATGATAGGAACTGGGATGGTCAACTAGTGTTCCTGATTATTCATACTTTAACACACTTGATCATTCCTATCAACATTGTATTTTCCCTTGGAAATGAGGTGTTTATATACTTCATTCAATTATTTTCTAGTATCATTGGCATATTTTTGTATAAATTATTATTCAGATTTTTATCTTATAAAATATTATTCAGTTTTTGTATCTAAAAATGATTATTCAGGTATCCTTCCAGTCCAGCTGTAATTGATCAGAAGATTCAAGGCAATTCTGACATGTCACCTGAGCATCAAGTAACTAGTTTAGCTAGCCATTTTGAAAGTGACTACGATTCAGCACCTTCTCCTATTAACATGTCTGTTGACAACGGTATGAAAGATTCCAAAGAACTGGTTACTGTTCTTGAAATGGATAAGGAGGAACTAGCTATGGTACCTGTACTCCAGAAGCCAAAGCGATCTGAGGTTGTACAGCGCCGAATACGAAGGCCATTTTCTGTAGAAGAGGTTGAAGCACTGGTTCAAGCAGTTGAAAAACTAGGAACTGGAAGGTAAGATTTACATCATACTTGGTTTGGCCTGACTAATTATATTTAGTGGGTTGTATGCGTACTCCATCTTGTTGCTAGTACGTGAGTGTAAATAATTGTTTGTCTTCTGTATTTTCAATGAGTAGATGTTGCACTTAAGTGTTGGGAGAGATTTCCTCTAACATTCCCTTTATATTGTGTTACTATTTTCTTTCAAAAATGCAATCAGGTGGCGTGATGTTAAGATTTGTGCCTTTGATAATGCAAAGCATCGCACATATGTGGATTTGAAGGTAAAATTTGTGACCCTTGTGCAAGACAACTGCAGCATGTTTTACTTTTTATGTTATGCTGAGTGTGGTGATAAGATATTACATGCTTTCCTGGTTCTTTCCAGTTAGCACGTCTTATATTTACGAAAATAGAATTTGTTGTTTAAAACCCCAAGGTTTTAAATAATATTTTGGTGCCTATAATTTATACCCATTCAGGTTTTGGTCCCTATTAGTTTATTTTTTGGGGCATCAGTCCCTATATTTTTATTCATTTGAATTTTAATTCCATTGCTAAGGCAAAATCCTTACATTTTCCACTCATTTGAATTTTTAATTCACATACAGTTTGCATTCCTTAAAATATTGATCTTTATTTTCAATGAAGGATTAGTTCCCTGTAGTTCCCATACATTAATGAAAACTGGTTCCCGAGGAGCAAGACCCACAAAAGTGACAATATATCTACCGATATTCAAAAGGGTGAATCATAGATGTCCAAAATCCTATTAAAACCAACATAATTATCCTGCTGCTTCTGCTTTTCTGCAAAATCTTCTGCAAGATAGTGATAGAATCTAAAAGAAAAGAAGACCACTTTGATAATCATAATCTTGGTTTGCTCACCTAGCACGCATGGCATAGAAATGTTTTACACGTGATTTGGATTTTGGGGTTGTGCAGGATAAATGGAAAACACTGGTGCACACGGCAAGAATATCCCCTCAGCAAAGGAGGGGTGAACCTGTTCCCCAAGAACTTTTGGACAGGGTTCTAGTGGCCCACTCATATTGGTCACAGCAGCAGACCAAACAACAGCACAAACAGCACCCAGAAACTGAAACTGTCTTCTCCTTTAATAATGGCCAGGGCCATGTGGATGGAGGGGTTATGGTTTCTGACTTTTGTTATTAGTGTCTTTTTCTTTCTGCTTGTAATAAATATTTATCAAGTCTCTGTCTTATGTCTGTCAACCATGTACAAAGTGATGATGACAAGGAGAAAAAGCGAAGCCTAGAGAGAGAGTATGTAAAAATTATCTTTGCTCATGATGTGTATCTTTCCCTGCGTGGAGAGGCTGCTTTTCTGTAAATGATTGATGCAATAAAGTGCTCGCTGACTCAATTCTTTTGACTGTAAATATTTAAATTACTGTGTAAAATTATCACGTTTTTACTGCTTCATAGTTGAAATCCACATTTACAATTTACCTACTTAATTTCTGAGGAGTGAGGACACTTGTGACCGATGGAAAACGGTGAAATTATGTACATCCAAGTTTCAGTTTGAAAAAGATACAGCTGCATGCTGACAGGTGTTTTGTAAAAGAGCAGAAGTTTATCTCAGAATTTAGTGTTACCTTATTGCTTCGTGGTGTAATGGGCTTCCTAAGCCCACACTTGCTCGTGTCTACTTTTCTTTTTTGGTGTGCTTGATAAAAAGAAAAGAAATAGGTGATAAATACTAAATAGATGATGAAAAATAGAGAAGAGTGAAATAAATGAGTGAGATTAAGTAAAAATAAAGTCAACAGTTAGTCACTTAATTAAAAAGAAACAGGTGAGAAATAAATTATATAAAAAATAGAAGAGAAATAAATAAATGAATAATATAATATATTTAAAATAAGTAAAAAGAAAGAAATAGAAAACAAATAATATTTTTAAATGATTTTTTATTTTAATCAATTAAATAAAAAATTATGCAACTAAATAAATAATATTTTGAATTTAAATAAAAACTAATTAAAAATAAGTAAATAATTTTTGAGTAATATTCTTTTAGATTAAAAATCAATTAAATAATAAATTTAAATTAAGTAAACAAATTTAAAGTATAGAAATAATTAAAAAATAATAAAACTTTTAACTTTCAACTGAATGAAAATTTTTGTAATCAATTGACAGTCTCGAAAGTGATCGTTATGAAAAATAAACATAATCGAATAAACATTTTTATTTAATCAAATTAGGACTTCATAATGAAAAATCAATTTAATCAATTATGGATAATATGTTAATCGAACACAAATGGATTTCAAGTGTTTATTAATTTCTCATTGATTTGTGTAAAAATAAAAAGTGTAAGATTTACACTTTTTTTTCATTTTTTTTTGCTGACAAATTTCATTCCTTCTTCTAAATGACATTCAATTTTTATATATTTCTTCGACGTGTCTGCCATGCCACACAAGGTGCAAAAGAAAAATATAATCATAATATTAAATGTTGGTTTATGATATTACGATCCTATTCCAATATAATATATTACATGCAATATTTTTTAGAGAGTAAAAATATTTTATATTAGAGAAAATTCTACTGAATAAGATACAATAATTGTACAGAATAAAAATCTGATTTAATATTTAACATTACATGTGATAAGGTTTACATAAGAAAACAAAAGGTCCACACAAATTTTATCCATGGGATCCAACTAACCATGTCCACAGCCCAAGTTATGAAACAAGGAATATACTTCATTCCCAATTCTTTCTTTTTTCTTTTCACCGCTAAAGTACTAATCAAACACAGTATTTTATCACATGCTTGCAGTATTTAATATAATTGTTTAACACTTAACACTCATTTCAAATCGTTGAGCCTTTAACGTGGTAGTTACCATGTATTTTCATGTCGGAAATCTATTTTTAAATTAAAAGAACAGAGAAACATGTAATTGAAATATTTGAGGTTGATGCTTAATCATGTATTATCCCACTCTTGTAGCAAGTACACAACCTTATCTTTTCTAGTTTCTAGAAACTAAGACTCAATTGGTGTAGTTTTTGAATTTATTTATGTAGGTGGGACTTTTTTAAATTATTTATGTATTTGGGATAATTTTATACTGTGTCACTATCAGTCATAATAATTGTATTATTTTTTATTTAACTATGAAAGTCATAAAAAAAAAAATTGTTATAATTATTAGTCATTATAATTTGTAGTGAAAAAAAATGGCTATTTTTTTTATTGTTACAACACCATAACAATACTATTTTCATGGATTTTTAAATTTTTTTAAAGTTAGGAGAGTCATCAAGAAAAATTCATGATAATTATTAGTTGTTATAGATTGTAATAATATAAAAGTGGCTAATATTTTTTTTAGTCAATACAATCCATAATGATTTAAATTATTTATTTATTTTTTATTTTTTAAGGAATTGTTATGAACTGTAACGATCCTCTTTTTAATTCTTTTATTAGGTTGCTATAATCAATATTTTCTTTTTACAGTTTTGGGCCTATGGCACTATAGTTCATAGTGATTATGTATGTAATTTTTTTAAAATTATTTTATTTATGTTAATATATAAACATGACTTTTTTAATAATTATCTTGATTTCTTTTATATTTAGAAGATCATTATATTTTATTATTATTATTATTAAAAAAATATTACTTTTATCAAATTCAACACTTTTACGCTTGAAAATTAACTACAATATATGTTGGACCAATATAAATCATAACAATTATATTTTGATTTTTTTTTTACGTTTTACATGAGTGGACTGTGTTTATAGTTTTTTAATTATTTTATTCATGTTAATATATAAAGAAAATTCTTTTAATAATTATTTTAGTCTCTACTATATTTGACAGACTATTATATCTTTTTATTATTATAAAAAAATAATATTTTTATCAAATCAAACACTTAAACTCAAGATTTTCACACTCAAAGACCAAATATAATATCAATTCAATCAACATACTTTTATTACTTGATTTCAATTATTATTTTATTTATTTTTAATAGAGATGATATAAACCATAAAATCCAACAAAAAATAATTGGAGTTGATATGAGTCATAATGACTCAATGAAAAAATAAAAATATTAAAAATGATATAGGTCATAGGTATCTAAGAGAAAAAAAATATTTTAGACCAATACTTGTTGTCAAATAACAAGTCAATAATAACATTAACGAAGTCGTTATTAACTAACAACTCTACCAACATCAAAAAAAAATATTATATAAATTGCCATAACCCATAACAACAAATATATAAACAGTTTCAAAAACATAAATAATTTCCAAACAACCTCACTTAAATAAATAATTTCAAATGTTTTATATCCATCTTTATTATTTATCTCTTTACAAATGAATGCAGCTATCATTTTCCCAACAAACGACGACGAAATACGAATAGTTGGAATAGGAAAGGGTTAAGATTGTGACTAAGGCGGTAAGAGAAAACAATAATAAAAAAAAAAAGTTAAATATCCATTGATTCAACGAGTGGCTTACAAAATTTCAACATATTCCATTTTAAAGTGATCCTCATTCGCAAGATGCTAACTTTGTTATATTCAATTTAAAAATAAAATTCAATTCTTATTGGTAATACTTGGTTTGAGACTGGTCATGCCCCAGGTAACCTAAATTTTAGAATGTAACTTATATTGTTAAATGATTTTCTTTTTGACTACTTACTTTAACATGGAAAATAAAAAAAAAATGTTTAATTGCTAAATATGGATACTCATATTACAAAAATTTATTGGCATAGAGAATTCTATCCAGTGACGAAGTGATTCATTATATTTTGTGATCTTAACTACTTTTTATCTTCGTTATTTGATTTTTTTTACTGACCCAAGTTTCTGTCTCTCTCTGTCTCTCTTTTTGGGTAGTCTAATAAAGATCCAATTGAAAGATAATATTAAAATTAATATATCTTAACGATCATTGATGAACTTGAAAAGAACAATAAGAGACAACTTAAGTAATTAAATCTTATAAAAACGACACAAGGAAGGAAGTAACAAATACAAAAAAATCAGCAAGTTTGCTTTCATTAAACTGTCATACAGCACTTGATATGTGGGGTCTACAACATTATTATGATGATTGATGTCAAGTTTAGAATTCAATGGATTGCATGCACATGTTATTATCCTTGTATTAATCATCGATATGACGACTAGGTGATGGTTGGAATGGAATATAGGTCAAAATATGATTACATTCGTATCTAAACTTCCTAGCTATACTCAAACCAAAACCATTAACTACGCTCTATATATCATGGACCAATTACATACGTGTAAGAGAAAAATATGATTATTACAACAAACAATGGTAAGCTGTATGAACAGTGATTCCAAGTGAAATTTATTTGTAATGTAAAAAATTCAAATTTTTAACTTATCATTTTAAGAATCACTTTACAGTTTACTTGATTGATCACCCCCGCTATAGGGTTATACAATTATTGTGAGATACATGATCAATGTCAAAACTGATTTTACTAATTAATTAAGGTGAATAACTCTGTAAAATACTACTCATTCCATTTTTTTCCTCCATTTTTAGTAAAATTTTATATTTTTTTATTTGTTATTTTTTTATTTTAACATAATATTAATTATTATATTATCAATTATTTTCTTATATCTCAATTAATTTTTAATTAATTTATAAATAACAACTAATAATATATATTTATTATGAAATAAAAATAAATATATATCATATAAAATATTAAAATTATTCTATAAAAAATAGACAAATTTATTACATTTTTTAATTTGTGTAAAATAAATTTAAACCACTATTGTAAAAAAAAAAGATGATAAGTCTTCTGTTTAAATTTAAAATAAATATTTTTAAATAAATACTTATTTTTTTAAGAAGTACATAGGAGTTATTTCATTTAAAAAGTAAAAAAAATTACTTATTTAAAAAAAGGCTTAGATAGACAAACACACAAAAAAAAAGTGTTTATTTTATTTTAAAAAAACACTTTTATAAAAAATAGAAGTTTAAACAGATGGACTTATTATCATTAATATCAAATTGGAAACAATTTGACTTGACAACAAAATTTATGATTGTTTAATCAAGTAATTAAATGTTTAAATTATGATTCTTGTGAATATTTGAAGTTGAAAAAAGATGTCTTTCTAAATCTTCTTAAAAAATTAACTCTCATGTTTAAAAAAAGATATTCTTTAATAATAAAAAAAAATATTACAAGATCGAGAAAACACAGTACAAGAAATTAGTAAACGTTAAATATTTTTAATTTTGACCAGTTTGTTTAAACTTGAAATAAATAATCATAAAAGAAAACACTACTTAAAAAAATATTTTGTCGGAAAACAGATAAAATTTACTTATTTTAAAAAATAGAAAACTGTTTATCTTAAAGATAAACAATTTATATGAACACACTATAAAAGTAAAAAAAAGGTTTATTTTATTAAAAAAATATTTTTAAAAGCTTAAACAAGCATTTCCCTTATTCTGTTATCTAGATAGGTAGGGGTGTATTTGATTACTCATTCATGCACTCATATAAAAAAAACATGAATGTAGATAAATTGAGTTCAATGTATGTTTAACTATTTTAAATGGTAAAGTAAATTTCAAGCGTGTGGTTTAGCAGTAAAAGTTGATCCACGCTTAAATAAAGTCAGGAGTTCGAATTCTGTTTTGTATATACAGTCGCCTTAAATCTTGAAGCCAACTATCCCACTCTTTAAGGTACTTCCAATCTACCGAGAAGATTAATGAAAAAAAAAAAGTAAAGCAAACATGTACTAGATCCTATTCCTCGTTGACTGACCTACACTCGTTAAGTTGAATTCAACTTTTAACGGTTTGTGTTCGCTTGCGTTTCAACTTAATATTTGATTTTTCTAAAGTACAGGACCTTGCCTTCTGTTCCATAACATTTTTTTTAAAATTTTATATCATAGTTTCCTTTTAGTAAAAACTATATAAATTTATTGTACAAATACAAATTTTCAAATATAAGAAAAAAAAACAAAACTAATTCTCCAGATAACAAGTAATAATAAGTACCGACAAGAGTTATTCATGAAACGAGAAACAATATATAGAACATGTTATTCCTTAATTTATAACGAATTATATAATTGTTTCTTAATCAAAGAGATTAATGGTGGAACATTTCATCAGGTATTTAATTAAGATTCTATTTTCGATGAAACCTTTTCATTTTTTATATCAAGTTTCAATTAAAGATAGTATATTTTTTTATTATTAAAATCAGTAAAATCAAATAAAGTTAACTAAATTAATTTCTTAATTAACGCATAAGTTTCTTAAATTTATTTATAAATAAGTTCGAAGGGAGCATGTATTATGGAATGGCAAGAATATTAACCGTGGTTTAAATTATTTTATTTAATTTAAGTTTTTTAATCAATTTTTGGAAAACACATTATTTACCCGAGTAATAAAAAAACAGGCACCGTATAAAGTGAGGCGATACGGTTTGACATTGGAACCAAATTTATTTCAGTAAGTACATTAATAATCATTAATGTAAACATATAGTACTACATTTATTTGTTTTTTTTTTAAATGAAATATATTAACAGCACTCCAGTTTTTGACCTACTTTGAAAGAGAAAAACACAATGAGTCAATAACAAAAAAAATGAAATTAATTAAAATATTTTATAAAAAATGAACAATTCATCTTTGTTGAGTATTATCGTAAAGGTTTATTGGGTAGAAGAATAAATAGTAGGGTACCTTGGCGAACGTAACATTTGCAGAGAAAGGGCAATTAAAGTTGGAAACTTGAAAGGGGTTTTGTTTTGGGTCTCAACTCTCAACATTCCATGATCTATCCCAATCACCAACTAAACAAAATCTCAGTTCTCACTCACAGGTTCTTTGTTTTTGGTTTACATGGTTATTATAATATTGTTAATGAACTATCATTCTATCTTTCTTCTTAATCAGCTATGGAAACTCACTAGTTTTACTTCCCTACACATAAATTACTCATTCCTAGGGTTTCTAGTGTTCCCCCTAGCTTTTTCAACATGGTTTTATCAAACTAATTCTCTCTGTTTCTATCCACAGTATTGATTGATAGAAGGGGTGAATTGAATTCCATCACCTTGATGGATCCCCATTTCAAGTCCAATTTCATCAACGGTGTTAGACTCAACCAAGTTCCCAACACGCTCCAAAACTCGCAAGATTTACTTCCCTACACATAAATTACTCATTCCTAGGGTTTCTAGTGTTCCCCCTAGCTTTTTCAACATGGTTTTATCAAACTAATTCTCTCTGTTTCTATCCACAGTATTGATTGATAGAAGGGGTGAATTGAATTCCATCACCTTGATGGATCCCCATTTCAAGTCCAATTTCATCAACGGTGTTAGACTCAACCAAGTTCCCAACACGCTCCATGCAGAGGATCAGATGAAACCCTTTGAATTTGGATTCGTGGATAACCCCTTTCTTCTTCCACCTGATCCAAACGCTGCTCAAAATCCTCTTTTTCTCTCCACCGAAGAAGACTCTCCCTTGGATGAGTCAGATTTTTCTGCCACTGTCCTACGCTACATAAACCAAATGCTCATGGAAGAGGACTTGGAGGAGAAGCCGTGTATGTTCAACGATTCCTTGGCTCTCCAAGCTGCTGAGAAATCATTCTATGATGTCATTGGTGAGACATACCCTTCTTATTCTTCTTCCATCCAAAACTCTCAGGACAGTCCTGATGAAAGTAGTAGCATCAGTGGTACAACAACTAGCACTGTTAATAACTCAGTTGAGTGCCATTGGAATAATGGTGATGTTACTGACAACAAGCCTTCCATGATGCAATCCACTTTGCCTGCTGACTTTGTTTTCCAGGCCAGTTCAATCCAATCTTCTTTGAACACCCCAACCACAAGCAACTATGCTGTAAAGGACAATGGATTCATGGCAAGTTCTGGATTTTTAACTCCAGGGTCAACAACCTTGTTTAGCAAGAGTGAATCTGTGCTGCAATTTGAGAGGGGTGTGGAGGAAGCCAATAAGTTTCTCCCTAAAGGGAATCCATTGGTTATTGACTTGGAGAACCCCTCCTTTGTAAAGGTGCCTCCTCGGACGGTGGAAATTAAGGCGGAGAGAGATGAAATTTCTCCAGAGTCAAGAGGAAGGAAGAATCACGAGCGGGAAGATGGAGAAGCAGAATTACAAGATGGAAGAAGCAACAAGCAGTCAGCTGTGTACACTGATGATGACAGTGAGCTATCAGAATTGCTTGATAAGATACTGCTGGGCGCAAGGTGGGGAAATGAGCCAGCTCCTTTGTGTATTTGTTTCGCGGATCTTCCCAATGGACCATCCTTGGGTAAATTAGAGGAAGCAAAAAAGTCTGATGGCGGGAAGAGCCGTGTTAAGAAACAAAGCAACAAGAAGGGAGTTGTGGATCTGAGTACATTGTTGATTCTATGTGCACAAGCTGTTTCTTCTGATGATCGCGTAACTGCTAATGAGTTATTGAAGCAGATAAGGCAACATTCTTCTCCACTAGGTGATGGAACTCAGAGGTTGGCTCATTCCTTTGCAAATGCTCTTGATGCACGTTTGGCTGGCACTGGCACTCAGATTTATACTGCGTTGTCCAACAAAAAAACCTCTGCCGCGGACATGGTGAAGGCTTATCAAATGTATATTTCAGCCTGTCCATTCAAGAAGCTTGCAATCATTTTTGCAAACCATACAATTTTGCATCTAGCCAAGGAAGTTGAAACTCTTCACATTATAGACTTTGGCATCCGCTATGGCTTTCAGTGGCCAGCTCTTATTTATCGTCTATCAAGACGACCTGGTGGGCCGCCCAAGCTGCGCATTACAGGGATAGAGCTTCCTCAGCCTGGTTTCAGGCCAAAGGAGAGAGTCCAGGAGACGGGGCTTCGCCTTGCAAGGTATTGTGATCGCTTTAATGTTCCATTTGAGTTCAATGCTATTGCTCAGAAATGGGAAACCATCAAACTTGAGGACTTGAAAATAAAGGAGAATGAACTTCTTGCAGTGAATGCCATGTTTCGATTTCAAAATCTACTTGATGAGACAGTTGTGTCGAATAGTCCCCGGGATACTGTTTTAAATTTAATAAGGAAGGCAAATCCCAATATCTTCATACATGCTACTGTCAATGGAAGCTACAATGCTCCATTCTTTGTGACACGGTTCCGGGAGGCCCTTTTCCATTATTCTACTTTGTTTGATGTGCTTGATACCAATACTGCTCGGGAAGATCCAATGAGGTTGATGTTTGAGAAAGAGTTCTTTGGGCGGCGGGTAATGAATATCATCGCTTGTGAGGGTTGTGAGAGAGTTGAGAGGCCTGAGACATACAAACAATGGCAGGTTCGACACATGAGGGCTGGATTTAGGCAACTTCCCTTGGATCAACAGCTTATTAACAAATTAAGATGCAAGTCAAAAGGTGTGTACCACAGTGATTTCATGCTTCTTGAAGATGGCAACTATATGCTGCAAGGTTGGAAGGGCAGAGTAGTTTATGCTTCCTCCTGTTGGGTGCCTGCATAGGCCTTCACAATGTTCTTCGCAGTGTAGTTAATTAGGAGAAGTAAGGGCCATGGTAGACTAATCTTATCCATCTCTGTATTCTAAAATTTAGTCTTCATAATTATGAGGGCAGTTGTATTATTTTTAAAGTGCTGATTATACAAATCAACAATCTTAGTATATATTAGCATTACCATCGGATGACAGTATAATATAAGTGGATTCTAACTAAATTCTTTCTTTTTACGTGTCGCACACTCATACCATGTTTGATTTTCTTTAGTGTATATAATTAACTAAATTTATTTTGAGGTGCATGGTGAATTCACCATGCGAAATCAACTGCAGTCTGCGCTGGTAGTTTTAGAGTAGTTTTAGAGATGAGTATGGTAATTGGTTACAAGGTTTCCAGAGGAAAATTAGTATCACTACAGTCCTTATGACAGAATCATGTTCATGGGGGCATTGTATCTTCTTTGGAAGTTGCCTAGACTATGGAGATCAGGAAACTCATTGTAAAGTGTGATTCCAAATTAGCTATAAATGGATGGCATAAAAACCACCCCAGCTGGTTCATTGTTGAGAGCATTCATGATTTCAAAAGGAAGACCATGTGAGCTGAAATTTGTTCGCATATAAGGAGATGCAAATATGTTAGATGATAGTTTGGCCAATATGGCTCATCACCTGTATGGATTGGTGGATAATAAATTATCATTGATGTTTCTGCACATTGTATTGGCATTCCCATGCCCTGCTCTTTGATTAATTAAGTTTTTGTTTGGGCCCTCTTTTACCTAATACTGTTGTGTTGATTGTCGAGACGAAACTAGAAAAAAAAAAATTACAATACGAGAGAATATTTGTTAATGTGTTTAAAGTTTAATATTTCAATTCCTTAAACAATATTTTTAAGTCTGTCCCTTGTCGGTGAATATTAATAAATAACCTTCAATTCTTAAATAAATTTACAATTAAATGTGTGATGTCATTTCAAATATTTTTAAAAGAAGACAGGGTCATACAATATGTATCATTTGGCTTGATTTTTTTTAGACATTAAAAATTAATTTAAAGCTAAAGTTAAAATTTGTTTAATATATATATATATATATATATATATATATATATATATCTTTTTTGAAATTATCAAGTTTAATAAGATTCTTTTAAGTAAAACTCTTTCTTTTTACATCAAAAGTAAAACTCTTAAACAACAAGTTTTTATATTATCATAAAAGAATGATGAATTTTTCAAAAACTATATTTATATGCTTTAATAGACTTATATTATTTTTAAACAATTATTAATTTGTACACCAAAAAGAATATTATTAATTTATTTTTATTTTAAAATTTTAGTAAAATTATATCTTAAAAACTTAAAATGAGGATTTTATTCGCTTTAAGACGTGCTATTGTAAAATATAGATGTTCTATATATTTTTCACAATTTATCTGTAAATGATAAGGTTTTATTTTCAACATCAATAATCTGTGAACATATGTCTTGAAAAAATTATTAGAATGCCGTACATTGTGGATATCGTTATTCAACGAATAAAACAAACAATTCTGAAAAGTCAAAAAAGAAAGGAAACATGTTTACTGGTTATTCGCAAAAGTGTTGTGAGAGAAAGTCTTGGCTTGGCAACCAAGTAACGCCGCCCCATAGGCTGGGCAGGTACCAGGTAGCCAGTAAAAACAACCACTCTCTAAATTTTTTTTTACTTAAATATATTTTTATTTTCTTTAAAATGAACAATTTTTTTATCTATCAAAAATTAAATAACTATATTAAAATAAAAATTATTTATCTTAAAAACTAAGGTTAGTGATTTTAGATTTAAAAATAATGAAAATTAAATAAGATGATAGATGATACATGCCCCCTGTATCTGTTTGACAACAATAGGCATAGCACTGTACGAATAGTCAAAGTGAGTGACCGGTTTGGGTGTTCCAATCGCTGTTGTTGACTATATAAGGCATAAAGTAAACATAACCTTACGAGTTACCAGTTACCAGTTACCAGTTACCAATTACCATTGCCTTTGTCTTTACCTTTTCCATTACCCAAGCAAAAGCAACCATGGATGAAGACAACGATTTCTCAGAAACCGGCAAGTTCATAAACCAGATCCTCATGGAAGAGAACGTCCAACAGAGACCATTCTATGATTCACTCTCCTTGCAACTTACCGAGAAATCCTTCTACCACGCTCTCACCGGAACCCTACCTCTTTCCCCCCATCAACACCCCCTTGTTCACAGTCCCGAAACTGAAACCACCAACACCAGTAGCAGCTCCAATAGCAACAACGGTGACAACTTCTTTTCAGATGAAAATTCTCGTGAGTTCAAGCCTCCTTCTCCTTCTCCAGATTCTGTTTCTGTTTCTGTTTCTGCTTTTCAGTTTAACCCCCATGCCCTTTCTCAACCACCTTCACTTACTGTTGCTGATCGACTCTCTGATTTGGATTCTTCTATTGCCAAACTCTTGGCGCAGAATATTTTCAGTGATGTTGATTCTGTTTCTCAGTTTAGGAGAGGCTTGGAGGAAGCTAGCAAGTTTCTTCCTCCGGGGCCTAACCTTGTAACCCCTCTAGGTTCAAAGGGAGAACAATCAAATAACACGTTGGGAGATGATTCCTATGGGTTGAAGTTGAAGGGTAGGAGGAATCACCAACGCCAGGAGATACAAATCAGGGAAGACGAAGAAGATGATGATGATGATGAACAAGGGAGAAGTAACAAGCAATCAGCACTTTCCTTTGTTGATGAGAGTGACTTGTCCGATGCCTTTGATCGGGTGTTGCTAAATGTTGAAACCGTGTGTACTGAACACACTAGTGGAGCAGTGAAAATTGAGGAGCCAGATGGAGGGAAGGGTCGTTCTAAGAAACAAGGGAGGAAGAAAGAAACAGTGGATTTGAGGAATCTTCTGATGATGTGTGCACAATCTGTCTATGCCAATGACAACAGAACTGCCAATGAATATCTCAAGCAGATTAGGCAGCACTCTTCTCCCTTTGGAGATGCATCACAGAGGTTGGCTCATTACTTTGCCAATGGCCTTGAGGCACGCTTGGTTGGAGATGGTACAGGTGCACAAGGAATGCATTCTTTTTTCAACTCTAATAGGATCACTGCTGCTGAGTTTCTCAAGGCATACCAGGTTTTCCTATCTGCCAGCCCTTTCAAGAAGTTTACATATTTCTTTGCAAATAAAATGATTATGAAAGCAGCTGCAAAGGCTGAAATTGTCCATGTTATTGATTTTGGCATCCTACATGGTTTCCAATGGCCAATTCTTATCAAGTTTTTATCAAATAGAGAAGGTGGACCTCCCAACTTGAGGATCACAGGGATAGAGTTTCCCCAACCTGGATTTCGCCCCACAGAAAGAATTGAGGAGACAGGTCGCCGTCTGGCTAACTATTGTAAGCGTTACAATGTTCCCTTTGAGTACAATGTGATAGCTTCACGAAACTGGGAAACCATTCAGGTTGAAGACTTTAAAATTGAGAGGAATGAGCTAGTTGTTGTGAACTCTCTGATGAGGTTTGAGAATTTACTGGATGAGACTTTTGATATGAACAGTCCTAGAAATGCACTCCTGCATTTGATTAGGAAGATAAATCCGGATATTTTTACTCAGTCCATCGTTAATGGATCATACAATTCCCCCTTCTTTGCTACGCGGTTTAGGGAGGCACTGTTTCATTATTCTGCTATTTATGATATGTTTGACACTGTAATACCTCGTGAGAACCAATGGAGGTTGATGATTGAGAGAGAGATTTTGGCCCGGGAGAGTATGAATGTTATAGCATGTGAAGGTTCTGAGAGGATTGAGAGGCCTGAGACATACAAACAGTGGCAGGTTAGGAATACGAGGGCTGGTTTCAAGCAGCTCCCACTGAATGGTGAATTAATGACCAAATTCAAGACTAAGTTAAAGGAATGGTACCACAAAGATTTTATCTTGGATGAAGATAACAACTGGATGCTTCAAGGTTGGAAAGGCCGCATATTGTATGCTTCCACATGCTGGGTGCCAGCATAATGAAATGCTGCTGGACTCGATTCAGAACTCATATTAAAGGTATGAATTTATGAATTAGTCGTCGGCTTTTTTTCACATTCCACTTATTTTCTCTGTTAAAAGCTTTGATGTATAGTCCTACTAATACTTGCTGGTTACTTGAGCCTTGAGATATTTTAGCTTTTATGTTGCTATGGTGAGGCTTATTTTGCTCGTTAAATTCTTTCAGGTTCTGGATGGAATCCTTGGTCTGGCAACCTACTTGTTTAACCTTCAGGTGCTGTGATGAAGATATGACCAAGCTTTGCTCCGTGTTACTTGGTAAAGTTATGGCACGAGTTTTCTGGTAGAGTCAAGTTGTGAATGTAATCCAAGTTCTATAATGGTAAAGAGTGCGTGTAGAGTAGGAGGGCCCATATAGCATGTTTGCCCCAGTACTTGCAATCAAAATGCTGTTTTATTTTCTCTCTAAAGTCTAACCAGCTTGCATTAGGCATTTCGCATCATTCTATATAAATTTGTAAAATATTTTTGCAGGATATGTTGTCCCATTAGCTACTGAATTGACAATGTGATTAATTTGAAACAGATGACTATCTTCAGTTTGTTTTTATTTATTTTTATTTTTTTCCGGTGATATTCTTACTAGCAAGTTTGTTTTATTTGCAGCAACTTCTGTAGAACTTGTGATTTCCAGTCATAGAATAGAATCACTAAAAATGGCTGGTAATTTGTTCCACCGATCAAAGAAATTCCATATTTGTTGTCTATTGCTGCTACATAAATATAAACTAGAATTGTCAGTCAGATATGCTGACAATTACCAGCTTCTCCTTGCCTTTTCTCCCTGCATTAATTGCTCCCCCCAAAACTAAGTTTGAACTTCTAACAATGCTTAACAAGATATAACTTCATTTTATCTTATAAATTGCGTGCTGATTGGTTGCACAAATTTTAATAATTTTCAATCAACAATGGTTTTCAATTAATAATTTTATAACGACTTTGCTGGACCTGAAAGCTTTACCCTGTGATTTGTTTTCTTGCTTGCCAATTAATCTGCTTGCTGTTGCTCGTATAATACTGTGAAATTTGCATGACATGAATTGCTTAAATGTCGCTCGCAATTTCTTTCAATGCCTCGAGAACTTGATAGATCAAAAGTTACTCTGGTTTATCATCATTAGTGAATGAAATAAGCAAAGTTACACTACATGTGTGCATGTTTGATTTGCTTCTAATCTCAACTCCTCATTTCAGTGCAATATCTATGGTTTAGCTTAATTTACACAGATTTTACTGTTATTAAGTTGTAATAAGTCTTGTTCTATATTATTTTATTCATATTATTGAAAGTTAATAAATGTATGAAAAGGATAATGATTTTATAAAAATTAATCTCATGATTAATTTATTTTTTAGAAACGTTTTTACACACAAACAACTTTCTACATAATATTCCATCCACCTCTCAATAAGTGTAGTTTTAACATTTTAGTTCTAAATAAATAATTTTCTTATTTTTCAATATAAAATGTTAAATAGCTTTTTCTTAATTAATCTAATAATTTGTAAAATAGTAATTAGTTTTTTCTTAATTAATCTAATAAATTATTGAATCACCACAATCAAGTAATACATTATTGAATGTTGAGATATTTTAATAAAACTGTATAAAAAATGATACATTTTATTAATTTGGGTGTAGAAATCTAAAATTGTAGAAAGTATTATTAATGATACAAATTAAAAAAAATAATATTATATTAAAAAACTAACATGATACTATATTTATTTTTTATGAGACAGAGAGTGCTATTGTTAATGAAAGTTAATTTAATTTTATTTTTTACTTTAAAAGAAACTAACACTAAGTAAAGTGGTTGTAAGTTGCTTTGTTGGAGGCATTTACTGTGGGCACTGATATTTTGGTTTGATCTAGAGGTAGAGGCTAATGTATTTTATGGTGTATTAAGACCATCGATAAATTTTAAATCTTAAAATTGATTATAAAAATTATAATTAAAATATATTTCTTATATGAGGAGAGATCCGTTTATTCTAGAAGTAAGTTTACCTAGAATTATTCTATTCAATAACTTATGTTCTATATCAAATTTCAACGATCCAACCGTTCAATTTAAAGTTTTTAATGCATAGATCAAATATGCAAATTTTTAAGAAATTTGAAAATCATTTGATACTTCGTTTCATTAATTCGAATCAATGTATAAAATGATTTTATGATTATCCGTCAACTTGAATTAATGAAATGAAGAAATAATTTTTAAATTTTTTAAAAATTTGCAGATTTGATCTATATATTAAAATTTTAAATTGAACGGTTGGATTATTGACATTTAATGTAGAACATGAATTATTGAGTAAAATAAGTTTAGGTAAACTTAATTCTTGAATAAAACGATCTCTATTCTTGTTATGTAAATTTTGGTGTAGGTTGCTAACATACTCCCACTAAAAAATAGGTGGGAGTATATTAGCATTCTCCTATATATATATATAGGGAACATATCAAGTGAGAGGAAATTTATTATGAGAGATAAGATGGTTAAAATATAACCCTTAGATTAATTAAGTGAGAGAAAATTTGGAAGTAGACAATTTTATGTGAAGATTAATTTTTTTTAATATATATATATATATTAAAAATCATCTTACATGATCATTACCACCGATAATCGAAGAATAAGTTATTTAATTATTTCTATAAATTGATATTCTTTTATTACGTTGATAATATCGTGTTCGAATCTAAAATTTGTGTATATTTTAAAATATCTGTAAATATTTTATTTCTTAAGTAAATAAAAAATATAAAAGAATCATTTGATCCTATATTTGATTTCAAAAATCATTTCTTTAAAAATATATTTGTAATATTATTTTTTATAATAAACCATGATAGTGACTCTTATATTTTTATAATTATTCAAATTACTGAAATTAATTTAGTAATAAAAGTTAAAATAATCTGGAGAAGATTTTCAATTTGAATTTTGTAACCATACAGTACAATGTTACATGTTCATATGTTCGTGGACATCATTAAGTAATATACCGTTCTCTTGTGTGGTCCTAGAACAGACTTTTAAGTAATCTTAGTACCTAAAAAAAAAAACCACTTTTGATTAATCTCTACAACAGTACAACGTCTAATTAATCTGTACACCGCATCTATACATGTAAATGTAACATAAATACAAATAACTAACGCAACCACGTCAAGTTAATGGTTGCTTCCAGAACTATTTAGTATATCATTTCCCACTTGGTCAGTGTTCTATGAACTTATTTCTGTGTCTTTCGGAGAAGAACAAAAAGCGATTTGAGTGTTGTTCACTGTCACGATGGAAGCAAATTTTCCCTTTGGTGAAGAAGAAAAAGATGAGAGCATATTATATGTCTCCGATTCTCTTGGTTTTGCAGCCACGGATCTTTCGTTGGAAGACAAAGACAACGATTTCTCAGAAACCGCAAAGTTCATAAGCCAGATCCTCATGGAAGAGAACGTGGAACATAGGCCTTTCTATGACTCTTTCTCCTTGCAAGTTACAGAGAAATCCTTCTACCACGCTCTCATCGGTAACCTTCCTCATTCCCCCAATCAACACTCCCTTGTTCTTAGTCCTGAACCTGAAATCACCACCACCACCAGCAAAAACAATTTTTTAGACCAAAATTCTAGTGAGTTGAAGCTTCCTTCTCCTTCTCCTTCTCCTTCTGCTTTTCAGTTTGACCACCGCGACCTTTCTCAACAACCTTCAATTACTGTTAGTGATGGACTCTCAGATTTGGATTCTTCTATTGCCAAACTCTTAGCACACAATATTTTCAATGATGCTGATTCCGTTTCCCAGTTTAGGAGAGGGATGGAGGAAGCTAGCAAGTTTCTTCCTCCGGGGCCTAACCTAGTAACTGCTCTAGATTCAAACCCTAAACAACCGACCAACGCGTTTGGACAGAATTCCTATGGGTTGAAGAGTAGGAAGAATCAGAAGCGCCAAGAGACAGACAATAGGGAAGAAAAAGAAGATGGTGAAGAAGAAGGGAGAAGTAACAAGCAACCAGCACTTAGCCTTGCTGATGAGAATGACTTGTCAGATGCAATTGATAGGGTGTTTGTGTGTGTGGAAAATGTGTGTAATGAAGACATTTCTTTGCATAATGGAGCAACCAAAGTTAAGGAGCCAGATAGAGGAGGAAAGAAGGGTCGTCCAAAGAAACATGGGAGAAAGAAGGAAACAGTGGATTTGAGGAATCTTCTGCTGATGAGTGCACAATCTGTGTATGCCAATGACTTCAGGACTGCCAATGAATATCTGAAGAAGGTTAGGCAGTACTCTTCTCCCACAGGGGATGCATCACAGAGGTTGGCTCATTACTTTGCCAATGGCCTTGAGGCACGCTTGATTGGGGGCGGTACAACTGCATTAGGGCTTTTTTCTTTGCTGAGTTCTAAGAAGGTTACTGCTGCTGAGTTTCTCAAGGCATACCAAATTTTCCTATCTGCCTCCCCTTTTACCAAGTTTACATATTTCTTTGCAAATAAAATGATTATGGAAGCAGCTGCTAAGGCAGAAACAATCCATATTATTGATTTTGGCATCCTACATGGTTTCCAATGGCCAATTCTTATTAAGTTTTTATCAAATAGAGAGGGTGGACCTCCCAAGCTGAGGATCTCAGGGATAGAGTTTCCCCAACCTGGCTTTCGTCCCACAGAAAGCATTGATGAGACTGGTTGCCGTCTGGCTAATTATTGCAAGCGTTACAATGTTCCCTTTGAGTACCATGCCATAGCATCAAGGAACTGGGAAACCATTCAGGTGGAAGCGCTTAAAATTGAAAGCAATGAGGTAGTTGCTGTCAACTGTCACAATAGGTTTGAAAATTTACCCGATGAAAGTACTGATGAATTGGATAGTCCTAGAAATGCAGTCCTGCATTTGATCAGGAAGATAAATCCAGATATTTTTACTCAGACCATCAGTAATGGATCACATAATTCTCCTTTCTTTGCCACACGGTTTAGGGAGGCACTCTTCCATTTCACTGCTATTTATGATGTGCTTGACACTGTCATACCTCGTGATAACAAATGGAGGATGATGATTGAGAGCGAGATTATGGGCCGGGAGGTTATGAATGTTGTAGCATGCGAAGGTCCTCAGAGAGTTCAGAGGCCTGAGACATACAAACAGTGGCAGGTTAGGATTACAAGGGCGGGTTTCAAGCAGCTCCCACTTAATAAGGAATTAATGACCAAATTTAGGACAAAGTTAAGGGATTACCACAAAGATTTTGTCTTAGATGAAGATAACAATTGGATGCTTCAAGGTTGGAAGGGACGCATTTTTAATGCTTCCACTTGTTGGGTGCCAGCATAATATGATGCTACTGGACTTTTGGATTTGGAACCACACTCATGCTTAAGGTATATACTCTATGCACTATATACTTCTTGTTTTCCCTGTTAACAATTTGAAGTTATATAGTCCTACTAACTTCCTGGTTACTAGAGATATTTCACCATGCATGTTGCGATGGTGAAGCTTATTTTGCTCATTAAATTGTTACAGGTTATGGTATCCTTGTTCTGGGGGTCTGATTGCTTAACCTTCTGGTACTGTGGTGAAGATTGTGCGAAGCATTGCACCAAGTCACTTGGTAATTATGGCATGGCTTTTTTGGTATAATTTTGAGACTTGTGAAAGTAATGCAAATTCTATAGTGATACGGAGGACATATTATAGTTGGATCAAGGATTGCCCTGTTACCATGGTTGCTCGAGTACTTGTGATCAAAATGTTAGTTATGTTTTTTCTAACCAATGTGTGTTAGGAATTTCACATCCTTGTAGGTAAATTTGTAAAATGTTTTTGCAGGGTACATTGTATCTTAACCAAATTAGCTACTGAATTGACAAGATACTATTGATTTGTACCAGATAAATATCTTCAGTTTGTTTTTTCAGTTGATGTTCTTGCTTGCAATTCTGTTTTATTGCAGCAACTTCTGTGAAACTCATAATTTCCACTCTTAGCATCTCGAAAAATGGCTGGTAATTTGTTGCACTAATCAAAGATCTTTGTATCTATTATTATTATTATTATTGCTAGTAAGATATGATCGAATGCTGACAAATACCGGCTTCACCTAGCCTTCTATCCCCACCTTAATTGCACCACCAAAAATAAGTTTTAACTTTAACAATGCTTACCAAAATATAAATTGTTTGGATCTTGTATATTGCATGCTGTTTGGTTGCACAATTTTTATTATTTTTTCCATTAACTGCTATTAATGGATAAAGTATTGTTTTTGATGCAGCTAGCTAAGATGCTTTCTTATTTAAGTAACCATTGCCAAAGTGATCTGGCCTATTCACATAACCACTTTGCTTGGACCTGAAAATTTTGCCTTGTGGTTTGTTTTCATGCTTGCCAATTAATGTGTTGGGTGTTGCTCGTATTGTGAAATATTCATGACATGAATTGCTTAGATGGAGCTGGCAATTTCTTTCAATGCTTTCAGACAAATTGAAACTTAATTGAAAAATGAATGAAATTTTGAAGTCTCTTGAATACATTTTGCCAGACAAATAATCTTTCAATACCTCGAGAACTTGATAGATCAAAAGTTACTCTGGTTTATTATCGTTGTTTAATGAAATAAGCAGAGAACTTGATAGATCAAAAGTTACTCTGGTTTATTATCGTTGATTAATGAAAAAAGCAGGGAAACACATCATGTGTGCATGTTTCTTTGACTTCTAAAATCAATTCCTATGTTTCAGTAATCTACAGTTGAGTTTAAGTTAAACAAACTTTACTATTATATTTATTATAGTTAATTTTATCTAACTTCAAAACAAAGCACTTAAATTGCTTTGCTGGAGGCATAGAAAAGAGAGACGGAGAAAAAAATGTTTTTGCATTTGAAGGTTCTGAGAGGATTGAGAAACTTGAGACATACAAACAGTGGCAGGTTAGGAATACAAGGGCTGGTTTCAAGCAGCTCCCACTGAATGGTGAATTAATGGCCAAATTCAAGACTAAGTTAAAGGAATGGTACCAGAGATTTTTTCTTGGATGAAGATAACAACTCGATGCTTCAAGGTCGGAAAGGCCGCATATTGTATGCTTCCACTTCCACATGCTGGGTGCCAGCATAATGAGATGCTGCTGAACTCGATTCAGAACTCATATTAAAGGTATGATTCTATGAATTACAGTGTGTTTGTTTTAGTTGAATCCCGAATTCCATAGCTTTTACGTCCAATGATTCAAACATGCCATTAGTCATTGGCTTTTTTATTCATTCCACTTCTTATTTTCCCTGTTAAAAGCTTTGATTTATAGTCCTACTAATACTTGCTGGTTACTTGAGTCTTGAGATATTTCAGCATTTATGTTGCTATGGTGAAGCTTATTTTGCACGTTAAATGGTTTCAGGTTCTGGGATCCTTGGTCCGGTGACCTACTTGCTTAACCTTCAGTTGCTGTGATGAAGATTGTACATAGCTTTGCTTCGTGTTACTTCGTAAATTATGGCACGACTTTTCTGGTAGAGTCAAGATGTGAATGTAATGAAAATTCTATAATGATTAAGAGGGCGTGTTAGAGTAGGTGGGTCCGTATAGCATGTTTGCCCCAGTACTTGCAATAAAAAATGCGGAGTATTTTCTCTCTAACCAGCATGCATTAGGCATTTCACATCATTCTATATAAATTTGTAAAATATTTTTACAGGATATGTTGTCCCTCGAGCCAAATTAGCTACTGAGTTGACAATATGTGATTAATTTGAAACAGATGACTATCTTAGTTTGTTTTTTTTCCGGTGATGTTCTTACTTGCAGCAACTTGTGTGAAACTCGTGATTTCCAGCCGGTAATTTGTTCTACTGATCAAAGAACTTCCATATTTGTTATCTAGTGCTGCTACATAAATATAAACTAAATTGTCAGATTAGAATGCTGACAAATGACAATTGCCAGGTCCTCCTTGCCTTTTTCCCCTGCATTAATTGCACCCAAGAACTAAGTTTGAACTACTAACAATGCTTAACAAAATATAACTTCACTGAATCTTATAAATTGCATGCTGTTTGGTTGCACAAATTTTAATAATTCACAAATAACAATGGTTTTGAATGCTGCTAAGATGCTTTCTTATTTACGTACCATTGCCAAAGTGATCTGTGGCCTATTCACATAACCACTTAGCCTGGACCTAAAAGCTTTACCCTGTGATTTGTTTTCATGCTTGTCAATTAATCTGCTTGCTGTTGCTCGTATAAGTACTGTGAAATATGCATGACATGAATTGCTTAAATGTAGCTCGCAATTTCTTTCAATGCCTCGAGAACTTGATAGATCAAAAGTTTCTCTGGTTTATAATCAATATCATTAATTAATGAAATAAGCAATGTTACAGACTACATGTGAGCATGTATGTGTTACTTAAAAAATCAATTCCTAATGTTTCAGTAAACAAAGCACTCAAGTTGCTTCGTCGGAGGCATTCACTATCGGCAGTGATATTTGGTTTGCTCTAGACTAATGTATTTTATGGTGCATCCAGATCATCTGATCATGTACAGGTAAACCCTATACCCTAAAATTGATTATATAAACTATAGTTAAAATACTTGTTAAAATATTAAATATTAATATTTTTAAATATCATACTAAATATTATCACAAGATTTCTCAAATACTAGTTTAAAATATTGTCGATTCAATTACTACGATACATTTTGTTTACGTAATTTCATTAATTTGCATATAAATTATTTACTCTTAAAGTATAGATATTCAATCATTTAATGATAAAAATATGCTTTAATTTAAAAATTATTCTTAAAATACATAATTCTAACAAAATTTATATCTTATTTATTTTTATTATATTATCTATCATTTTTTGGTACATTTAATATATTATCTATCTTTAATTTATTATCTATTCTTAAAACACGTTTTTATTACATTACCCCAAACCGAAGCCATCCCCGTTCGTAAATTTATCAAATATATCACAAACACCTATTATTTAATTTTTTTTATTACGTTATTTATCACCTGCTATAGCATTTATAATTTTTATATGTTAAATTATTTTTTTTGGCTTCATTATTTATTTTTAGGATTAAGCTTGATCTCACTATTTTTAAATTATTTAATTCAATTTTTTAATTTTAAAAAATATTTAATATTATCTTTTTCGTCTTAATTAACTCTAACAAAGATAATAAAATCAGGAAAATGGTAACATTGAACTATTTTAAAAATAAAAGGATCAAATTAAATATTTTAAAAATAATTTTCCTAAATTGGATACTTTAAAAATAGTGATTAAATTAAATAATAATTGAAAGAAATTATCAAATAGGTAAGTAAAATTTAAATTTATCTAGTAAAAAATATATGTTAAATAAATTATTATTCAATTTGATAATTTAATTTTATAAAGAAAATTTTAATGTTATTTTTTAGTCTAGTTTCATTAATATGGTTAGGGTTAATTTTAATGGAAGAACAATAAATATTTTTTAAAAATTAAATCATTTTTTCAAATAATGAAATTAAATTGAATTTTTAAAATAAAAGGAAGAACAAAAGTATAATTTAATTATTATTTTTTATATCTCTCTCTCATCGCATCAAATAGCATGAGGTGAGGTGTGTGTACATTTCTTTTAATCTTTATCCTATGGCTATTGGCTAATGCCTATGTTCATGATAGCCAAAACTCAAAAGCCATAAATATTATATAACTAACGCCACCTCGTCAAGTCAAGTCAAGTCAACTACCCATAGTCAATGGTCAATGGTCAATGGTCAATGGTTGCTTCCAGAACCATATGCTTCATATTATTTCATTTCCCACTTTTTCATTCATTCATGTTCTATATAGTATTCTTTCCGTATATACTTCATCATGCTTGCTTCTTCTTCTTCCATTACCATATACTACTCTTTAGTATTCTTTTGGTACATACAATAAATGTCCCACAATTTTTGGATAACATTAAGTAACACCGTGTGGTCGAGGCTCGACCAGATTTTTAATAATTCTCAACATAATATTTAATTAATCTCTACATGTATGATTTAATTAATTATATTTTCAATTAATCACTACATCAAATAATTTATTTTTCATATATTGAAAAACCTAATTAAAGATTATATACAAACACTTTGTCACTTTTTTTATTAGATGTCATCTATTATAATATATTTTATTTTTCTCTCTCCATGTCTCGAACACGAACAGCATGAGATGTATATAGTACAATATGTTGTATCCTTTATCCTATATCTATATGGCTAATGCCTATGCTCATGAATCATGATAGTTTGTAAATAACTAACGCAACCTCGTCTACTACAACTACCCATAATTAATGGTTGATTCCAGAACCATACAGTGTTATTTCATTCATTCATTCATTCATGTTTTATGAACTCATCGTGCATGCTTCTTCTTTGTCTTTCGGAGCAGAACAAAAGGTGATTTGAGTGTTGTTCACTGTCACGATGGAAGCAAATTTTCCCATTGGTGAAGAAGAAGAAGAAGAAGAGAGCATATTATATGTCTCCGATTCTCTTGGTTTTGCAGCCACGGATCCTTCGTTGGAAGACAAAGACAACGATTTCTCAGAAACCGCGAAGTTCATAAGCCAGATCCTCATGGAAGAGAACGTTGAACACAGGCCTTTCTATGACTCTTTTACAGAGAAATCCTTCTACCACGCTCTCATCGGTAACCTTCCTCATTCCCCCAATCAACACCCTCTTGTTCTTAGTCCTGAACCTGAAATCACCACCAGCAAAACCAACTTTTTAGACCAAAATTCTAGTGAGTTGAAGCTTCCTTCTCCAGATTCTGATTATGTTTCTGTTTCTGCTTCTCAGTTTAACCCCCAAGATCTTTCTCAATCAAATTCAATTACTTTTAGTGATGGACTCTCAGATTTGGATTCTTCTATTGCCAAACTCTTAGCACACAATATTTTCAATGATGCTGATTCCATTTCCCAGTTTAGGAGAGGGATGGAGGAAGCTAGCAAGTTTCTTCCTCCGGGGCCTAACCTAGTAACGGCTCTAGATTCAAAGGGAGAACAACCAATCAACACGTTTGAACAGAATTCCTATGGGTTGAAGGGTAGGAAGAATCACAAGCGCCCAGACATACAAATCAGAGAAGAAGAAGATGATGATGATGAAGAAGGGAGAAGTAACAAGCAGTCAGCACTTAGCCTTGCTGATGAGAATGACTTGTCAGATGCAATTGATAGGGTGTTTGTGTGTGTGGAAAATGTGTGTAATGAAGACATTACTTTGCATAATGGAGCAACCAAAGTTAAGGAGCCAGATGGAGGAGGAAAAAAGGGTCGTCCAAAGAAACATGGGAGAAAGAAGGAAACAGTGGATTTGAGGAATCTTCTGCTGATGAGTGCACAATCTGTGTATGCCAATGACTTCAGGACTGCCAATGAATATCTGAAGAAGGTTAGGCAGTACTCTTCTCCCACAGGGGATGCATCACAGAGGTTGGCTCATTACTTTGCCAATGGCCTTGAGGCACGCTTGATTGGGGGTGGTACGACAGCATTAGGATTTTTTTCTTTGCTGAGTTCTAAGAAGGTTACTGCTGCTGAGTTTCTCAAGGCATACCAAATTTTCCTATCTACCACCCCTTTTACCAAGTTTACATATTTCTTTGCAAATAAAATGATTGGGGAAGCAGCTGCAAAGGCAGAAACCGTCCATATTATTGATTTTGGCATCCTACATGGTTTCCAGTGGCCAATTCTTATCAAGTTTTTATCAAAAAGAGAGGGTGGACCTCCCAAGTTGAGGATCACAGGCATAGAATTTCCCCAACCTGGATTTCGCCCCACAGAAAAAATTGAGGAGACCGGTCGCCGTCTAGCTAACTATTGCAAGCGTTACAATGTTCCTTTTGAGTATCATGCCATAGCATCAAGGAGCTGGGAAACCATTCAGGTTGAAGCCCTTAAAATTGAGAGAAACGAGGTAGTTGCTGTCAACTGTTACTTGAGGTTTGAAAATTTACTTGATGAGAGTACTGATGAATTGGACAGTCCTAGAAATGCAGTCCTGAATTTGATCAGGAAGATAAATCCGGATATTTTCACTCAGGTCATCAATAATGGATCACATAATTCCCCTTTCTTTGCCACACGGTTTAGGGAGGCACTCTTCCATTTTACTGCTGTTTATGATGTGTTTGACACTGTCGTACCTCGTGATAATGAATGGAGGATGATGATTGAGAGCGAGATTTTGGGCCGGGAGGTTATAAATGTTGTAGCATGTGAAGGTCCTCAGAGGGTTCAGAGGCCTGAGACGTACAAACAGTGGCAGGTTAGGATTACAAGGGTTGGTTTCAAGCAGCTCCCACTGAATAAGGAATTAATGGCCAAATTTAGGACTAAGTTAAGGGAATACCACAGAGATTTTGTCCTAGATGAAGATAACAATTGGATGCTTCAAGGTTGGAAGGGGCGCATTTTTAATGCTTCCACTTGTTGGGTGCCGGCATAATGAGATGCTACTGGACTTATGGATTTGGTACATAACTCATACAAAAGGTATGTTTCTAAGAATCAGTCATCGGCTTTTACTCTATCCACTTTATACTTCTTGTTTTCCCTGTTAACACTTTAAGTTACTTAAGATATTTCAGGATGCATGTTGCGATGGTGAAGCTTATTTTGCTCATCAAATGGTTATAGGTTATGGTATCCTTGGTCTGGGAGCCTGGTTGCTTAACCTTCAGGTGCTGCGGTGAAGATTGTACGAAGCATTGCACCATATCACTTGGTAATTATGGCATGACTTTTCTGGTAGAATTGAGACTTGTGAAAGTAATGTGCTATGCACCAGGGTTTCCATACACATTTTCACATTGGTCCTATTATCATGTTTGCCTGAGTACTTGCGATCAAAATGAGTTATTTTCTTTCTAACCAATGTGTGTTAGGAATTTCACATCCTTGTAACTGAATTTGTAAAATATTTTTGCAGGGTACATTGTCTCTTAGCCAAATTAGCTACTGAATTGACTAAATGCTACTAGTTCGAAACAGATAAATATCTTTATTTTCAGTTGATATTCTTGCTTGCAATTTTGGTTTATTGTAGAAACTTCCGTGAAACTCATGATTTCCACTAACGAAAGATCATTGTATTTGTTATTATTATTATTATTGTCTATTGCTGTTGCATAAGTACTATAAACTAGAATACTAGTAAGATACGATCGAATGGTGACAGATGCCGGCTTCACCTAGCCTTCTCTCCCCAACCTATAATGCCCCGCCAAAAAACTAAGTTTAAACATTAACAATGGTTAATAAAATATAACTTGTTTGGATATTGTAAATTGCATGCTTTTTGGTTGCACAATTCTTATTATTTTTCAATTAACTACTATAAATGGATGAAGTATTGGCTCTTGATGCTGCTAGCTAATATGCTTTCTTACTTAAGTAACCATTGCTAAAGTGATCTGATTTATTCACATAACCACTTTGCTTGTTCCTGAAAGTTTTTCCCCGTGATTTGTTTTCATGCTTGCCAATTAATCTGTTGGGTGTTGTTCATATTGTGAAATATGCACGACATTGACATGAACTGCTTAAATGGAGCTGGCAATTTCTTTCAATGCTTTCAACTATTGAAACTCAATTGAAAAATAAATGAAACTATAAAGTCTCAAATATATTTTGCCAGACAAATAATCTTTCAATACCTCGAGAACTTGATAGATCAAAGTTATTCTGGTTTATTATCATTGATTAATGAAATAAGCAAAGTTACACAACCTGAAACCATTTAACAAGCAAAATAAGCTTCAAATTGCAACACACATGCTGAAATATCTCTAGACTCAAGCAACCAACAAATGATAGTAGGACTATAACTCTTCTATACATATTCTTAGAATCAGACCTCTAAGTCTAGTTAGTATGAGTTTTGAACCAATTCCAGTAACATGTCACTATGCCGGAACCCAACAAGAGGAAGCATACAAAACTCTGCCTTTCCAACCTTGAAGCATCCACTCGTTATCTTCATCTACGAAAAAATCTCTGTGGTACCATTCCCTTAACTGACTCCTGCATTTCTCCATTAATTCCTCATTCAGTGGAAGCTGCTTGAAACCAGCCCTCGTGTTTCTAATATACCACTTTTTGTATGTCTCAGGCCTCTCAATCCTCTCAGAACCTTCGCATGCTATAACATTCATAGCCTCCCGACCCACAATCTCTCTCTCAATCAACATCCTCCATTCATTTTCACGAGGTACGACAGCGTCACACATATCATAAAGAGTATAATAATGGAAGAGGGCCTCCCTGAACCGTGTGGTAAAGAAAGGAGCATTAAATGACCCATTAATAACGGTCTGAGTAAAAATATCCGGTTTTATCTTCCCATATTGTGAAATATGCACGACATTGACATGAACTGCTTAAATGGAGCTGGCAATTTCTTTCAATGCTTTCAACTATTGAAACTCAATTGAAAAATAAATGAAACTATAAAGTCTCAAATATATTTTGCCAGACAAATAATCTTTCAATACCTCGAGAACTTGATAGATCAAAGTTATTCTGGTTTATTATCATTGATTAATGAAATAAGCAAAGTTACACAACCTGAAACCATTTAACAAGCAAAATAAGCTTCAAATTGCAACACACATGCTGAAATATCTCTAGACTCAAGCAACCAACAAATGATAGTAGGACTATAACTCTTCTATACATATTCTTAGAATCAGACCTCTAAGTCTAGTTAGTATGAGTTTTGAACCAATTCCAGTAACATGTCACTATGCCGGAACCCAACAAGAGGAAGCATACAAAACTCTGCCTTTCCAACCTTGAAGCATCCACTCGTTATCTTCATCTACGAAAAAATCTCTGTGGTACCATTCCCTTAACTGACTCCTGCATTTCTCCATTAATTCCTCATTCAGTGGAAGCTGCTTGAAACCAGCCCTCGTGTTTCTAATATACCACTTTTTGTATGTCTCAGGCCTCTCAATCCTCTCAGAACCTTCGCATGCTATAACATTCATAGCCTCCCGACCCACAATCTCTCTCTCAATCAACATCCTCCATTCATTTTCACGAGGTACGACAGCGTCACACATATCATAAAGAGTATAATAATGGAAGAGGGCCTCCCTGAACCGTGTGGTAAAGAAAGGAGCATTAAATGACCCATTAATAACGGTCTGAGTAAAAATATCCGGTTTTATCTTCCTGATCAAATGCAGTACTGCATTTCTAGGACTGTTTTCATGAAAAGTCTCATCCAGTAAATTCTCAAACCTCATGAGAGAGTTCACAGCAACTAGCTCGTTGCGCTCAATTTGAAGGGCTTCAACCTGAATGGTTTCCCAGTTTTTTGATGCTATGGCATGGTACTCAAAGGGAACATTGTAACGTTTGCAATAGTTAGCTAGATGGCGACCCGTTTCCTCAATTTTTTGTGTGGGACGAAAGCCAGGTAGAGGAAACTCTATCCCTGTGATCCTCAACTTGGGAGGTCCACCTTCTCTATTTGATAAAAACTTAATAAGCATTGGCCAATGAAAACCATATAGGATGCCAAAATCAATAATATGGACGGTTTCTGCCTTGGCAGCTGCTTCCCTAATCATTTTATTTGCAAAGAAATAAGCAAACTTCTTGAAAGGGACGGCGGTTAGAATAACCTGGTATGTCTTCAAAAGGTCAACAGGAGTGACCCTTGAGTTGAGAATAGAAAACATTCCTTGTGCGCTTGTGCCATCACCAACCATGCGTGCCTCGAGGCCATTGGCAAAGTAATGAGCCAACCTCTGTAATGCATCCCCAGTGGGAGAAGAGTTCTGCCTTATCTGCTTCAGATATTCATTTGCAGTTCTGTTATCATTGGCGTACACAGATTGTGCACACATCAGCAGAAGATTCCTCAAATCTACTATTTCCTTTTCCTTACCCTTCTTCATCCACCAAGCGTTCCTCCCTTGTTTCTTAGGACGACCCTTCCCACCACTCCGGAAACAACTTTGTTCATCGCACACGTTTTCGCTGCTCAGAGACACCCGATCAATAGCCTCTGATAAGTCGATCTCATCCGCAACACTAAGTGCTGATTGCTTGTTACTTCTCCCTTCTTCCTCTTCTTCTATGGTATCTCTCTCATGGCGCTCGTGATTCTTCCTACCCTTCAAGGTTACAAGGTTTGATCCTGCAGGAAGAAACCTCCTACCTTCCTCCAAGCCTCTCCTAAAATCACAAACATAATCACCATCATTCAACTTATTATGTGGCATCACTGTGGCAGTAGAAGAATCCAAGTGTGGTTGGGAAACTTGGGGATTAAACTGAAAAGCAGAATCTTGAAAACGTTGCTTCAGCTCACGAAAATTTTCATCAGAAAAATCGTTCTTGTTGGTAGTTTCAGCCTGGGGAGTGAGAACAAGAGGGTTTTGAGTGGGAGAAAGAGGTAGAGTACCAGTGAGAGCGTCGTAGAAGGATTTCTCGGTGACTTGCAAGGTGAATGAATCATAGAATGGGCACTCATCAAAATTCTCTTCCATGAGGATCTGGTTTATGAAGTTTGCAGTTTCTGAGAAATCGTTGTCTTCCAGCCAAGGATCAGAGGGAGTGTTTGCCTCCATCGTAAGTCGTAACACCCAAATAACAATTTCTTGTGTTATGATTTCAGAAAGAGAAAGAAGAAAATTGACAGTGAATGGGAATGGAAGGGTGAGAATTGAGAAATCAAATGATTTGGGTTCATCAGTTTATAGTAACAATCACAAAGCACATAACGTTGACCATTAGGAGCATTGACTTGCCAACTTTCCTTGATTTGCTAGGGACAGAAAAAAAAAAAAAAAAAACGATGCCGTTTAGAAAATACTTTTTCATTCTATATTTTTTATTTTATGAAAATAATTTGACTTTTTGTTTCCTATTTTGAAAATTAAAAATATAGGACCTATCATTTTTTTTCTTCTATATCACAAATATTATTGTTTAATTTTTAAATACAATATAACTATTATTAAATTTTAATTTTTAAGTAAAAAAATATAAAGGTGGGTAGCCAGCCATGACCGGATGTGTCTATTGGAAAGCCCAAAAGACCAAATGACTGATCCGGTCGTCCCTTTAGAGAAGATGTCAAAAATATAAATATAAATATAATGAGTACCGTTTGACTGAAAACAATAATTATTTGACTTTAAGAAAGACGAGACTGCTATTAAAAAATAAAAATTCTATAATGAGATTATGAACCAAAAAAACAAGCCTAAAGTGGAGTGCTCATGTTTGCAGACAAATTGACAACAAAAAAAAAAAATAATCGGATAATTACAATTTGCCACCATATTTTCGAATGAGTGTTTCTGAAAATATCAAAAATGATATTATTTTGTTCTTAAAATTGAGCTTCATTTAAAAATATTTTTAAAGAAAACATTTTCTAAAATTAACATAAAACATCTTTTTAGTGTTATACTGTTATTCCTTTTGTTTTCTTTAAAAATGAAAACAGAAAATGCCAAAATCAAGCAAACAGCCGAAAATAGAAAGTGTACTTTTTCACTTTTTTTAGTCTCCATTTTATAATGCATGTTTATATTTTTTTTATAAAAAATATATTAAATAATAATAAATTATATAATTAATTTATTAAACGAGATAATATTTTATTAAATAAATTTATTATTTATTAGTATTAAATTAGATTAACATTAAATAAAGAATTTTAAGAAAAAAATTTAACATACACAATAATGATTATATAATATAATTATAAAAGTTAAGTAACTTAGTGATTTAAATGATAACTTTTATAGTAAAAGTCATGAATAGTAACTTTCACAAGGTCACTTTTTATGCTTGTGTAAATAAATCTTATATTTTCTTCTCATATCAACATCATCCGAATTATTACTAGAGTACCATTAGACTATAATTAGAATATAATATTATCATGTAAGTTGCTATATCATCATCATCAAAATGACATGTTAATGTTAGCATTAATGTCATCATTCAATTGATTAGGGAACTAAAATTGTGTCATTAAAAATTAGAAGATAAAAATCATGTAATTTAAAAAATAACAAAAAAGTGTAATTTAGTCTTTTATAATTAATAAACTAATGTAAAAAATTAGTATTCTCAAATTCAAATATCCTAAAAAATTAAAATTTTTTGTATAACAAATGACTTGTAAGTGGAGCATTTACATTAATAAGTGGTGTCATTCGTGGAATCATACATCTAAATCGTTGAAAAAGATATTTGGACACTTACAAATAGCCAAAAGCACCCTTTAAACAACTAATTTTATTTTTTATTTTCTCTTTTCTAATTCAAAGCTTAAATTAATATTTTAATGTTGAATAAGATTTATTTTGTCTTCTTGTGAGTGTATTACGGTGTCTAACAATTAAAATATATTAATTTACATTGATAAGTTCATTTGTGAAGTTATACATCTAAATCTCCAAAAAAAGATATGTAAACATCCACAAATAGACCAAAAACACCCTTTGAATATTTTTTTTTCTCTTTTCTAATTACAAGTTTAAATTAATATTTTAATATTGAATCAAATTTACTTTATCCTCTTGTGAGTGTCATTAAGGTGTCTAACAATTAAAATATGTCTAAATTTAAGGACTCATAAATCTCTCATGTCCACAAAGGTCATACCTCCAACAAATTTGATGTGTAATTGATAGTTATGCAAATTCTCCGATTTAGGCAATTAAGAACAACTCACGTATAACGTCTAGTCTCATTAAAGTTCTCATAAACTATTAAGATACCTCAAAGAAACTTTACAACTTGAGACTTGTTAAGAAATAAGACATTGTAGATAAGTCTTCAGATATATGATGGATCATATTGCTACGATTACTCAACTATGTGATGCTCGATATTTTCAAAATTCTGATCTAACAAACTCAATCATACGGACTTTCAATCAAAGATGTTGAGCTAAAAAGAAGTTTTTGAGTCCAAATCCTTTATGTTTTAATCATGACAAACCTTACGAACAAACGTTATAAGCTTTTTGAATATTTATGTTACCAATGAGTTTGCTTAATTTATTTAGAATAACAATTAAAGTAAACTCAAGATTTATTTAGAATGACTCTTAGAAGGTGGACAAAAAAGAATAAGTTTAAGCCAAATAAAATAAAATCAATGTGACATAAATATTAGAATGAAACTTCAAAATGATTCAGAATGGATGTAACTATGCATTTAACAGTGAAAATCTTTAGAAGATTATGAAGTCCATTTGTATGATATATGGAGCTATAGGAATTCATTTGAGGAGATCTTGGTGACTATGTGTTAAGTCTCAATTTTACCTCTTTTTGGATGAGACTTATTGAACAAATTCCACTCATCCTTTGAACCATTGCAATATAATTGTTCTCTTTTTGGTTCATTTTGTGTGCAGATATAACTAACCCAAATTCATCTAACAATACCTTAATCCACCTCATTTTTTGTGCAGGTATTGAGGAAGAGTGGAAAGTTGAAGACTCTTAGGATTGGAAATCTAAGAAGCTAAGGAGCAGAGAAGAGGTTCTGCGCCGGGCGCAAGGTGATCCGCGCCAGGCGAGCAAAACAGAGTATCTCACCTCTGGGAGCCATTGCGCCGGGCGTAATGTGAATTGCGCCGGGCTTGTCCTAAGGCAGAGAGTATCTGGAAGGCCCCGCGCCGGGCGCGAAGACTTATGCGCCGGGCGCGAAACCCTAATCTGACTCCCCAAGCTCGTATTTGAAGCCATTTTCGGGGGAGAAACCCCCATTCACACATTGGGCGCCTCCAGGAGCTGCGGAAGGGATTCCCAGGGCTTGGGATCGTCCGTGTGCGGATCTTTCCTTCGGTTCTTCACTTCCTCTTCCATCTCTATTTTGTATTTGCCCTCTTTGTTGAGTGGTTTCACCCATTTTGTGGGGTTAGATGTAACCAACGTACTCTATTGTAATCTTTACGGTTTTAATGATATATATACATGTTGTTTTATTCGTTGTTGTGTTTGTTTCTATTCTTAATGCTTGCTTTGGATTGATCACCCTTTGCATGATTTAAGGTTCCATGGGTATTGGAAAATAACCTTTGAAACTAGTTCTGAAACATATGCCTAGTGGTGATTGTATCTAGGGATAGAGCTTGACCCATTAGTAGTCTTAAACCCTAGCCCGTAATGCGGGTGTAGATATTGGGTACTCAAGGGATTGATATTCAATATCCGCACCTAGGCTCTTGCTCTAAGGGATTAGGTTTGAGTAAACTATTGGGTTGACTAAGCAATGAATTTAACAAGAGATTAAGGATACATTAGTGTTACGTTCGGTGAAATCTGACCCCCACAGCCTCACAATACCATTATCCCATTTCTACTCTTTCCCATTCTAAAACTAATCTTTTTATAGTTTTAACATTCCAATAGTCATGCTCTTCATCTCACATTTACATGACAAACTATAAATTGGAATTATTCTTTAGTCACGAATAGTCAATAAATGCTTATTTTACCTTCTAATCCCTGTGGATACGATATTTTTACTACTTGAACGGCCGGTATACTTGTCGTGTTTGAGACCGTTGATAGAATTAAACGAATTTACAAATATTAACAAAAGTGTTTCAACGGAAATCTCAACACTATGGAAAAGCCTGGAGAAGTATCTACATTATTTATGAAGAAGTCAAGAGCTTATATGGATTAAATCATGTGCAAAATTGCAAAAGGAGTTGCAGATGGTGTTGATCTTGACTACAAAACATAGTTGTTGTATTTTGTATATACCTTGAGTTGTAGACATGATATTGAGCCAAAACTTGTGACTATGGAAAACTAGAATAATTATTTACAACCTTTATGAATAACTCGTGCACCAAAAGGCCTAGATCATTGAAAAATATGGCAATCAAGATGTGAAAATGTCATTTTAAGTTGCAACACTAACATAGTGCAATATTTTGAGCATATCTAAACTTGTATACATGATTTTGAGCCAAACTTGGTGGCTATGGAAAGATAAAAAAAAATATTTACAACTTTGATGAAGAAGTCATGAGCAAATAAGGTCTTTATCAATAACAAATTATGTATGCACTATGGAAACTTTGCTCTATTTAGAACAACATGATACTATTACAATGTTTTGGGAATATATTTTACTACAAAGATCCAAATAACATGAAACTAATTTCTTATGATCAATGACAAATATATCTACAAGTTATATGAAGACATCAAAAAGTAATTTGGCAATTTAAAGGGTCAAAATACTCAAATCACGGGGACTATATTAGTAAATTTTCCTATAAGAGAAAATAGAACTCAAAACATGCTTAGAAGGCCCCCTTATCTAAGAAGCCTTGTTTATGTAAGAAAAATATGTGATGTTAGCACATGACTTAGGAAACAAGACATGCTCTAATAGCTAGGTCATCCCATGTGACCTAAATATTGACCAAATACAACTACAAAACACATAGGAGAGAGCCTACACCACTCCAAGTCATTAATAAACTCTTCTTCACTCCAACACTTCTCTAAAATTGAAAATGCAAAAAATGGAGTGAAGTACAATAGAGCTGCCATGAAGAGTCCAATACATGAGTGTTGATTAACTATATATTACCCCCAAACACTTTCTCTTTATATGTAATGTGTTTTTTTTATCCCAAATCACCCAAACAGATAGAAGTTTGG